CACTACACCACCTAACTCACACACACACAGACTCCTACACACACCTAACACTCATAACCACCACACCACACACACTCCACACTGCACACCACACACAGACTCCTACATTTACACCTCACACTCACACACCTAACACCACACACACTTCTAACACTCACCCACACCTAACAACTCATCACAACAGGACTCCTACACACACCTACCACCACACCGACCTAAACACTCACACACACCTACACTCACACAGGTGACTGATGGATGAGGGTGAGCGGCGCTTTGTAACTCGCCTTCATCTGTCTCCCTCGCCGACTCGCCGAGTGTTTGTGTTGTTGTTGTTGTTGGAAACGTCCCGACGTCAGATTGAAGCTTGGACGGGCGAGCCAAGGGAGTTCCAGCAGCGGAAGAAACTCGTCACGTTGCAGACACCGTGTGACGCGTACCACGTGACAGAGACGCCAAACTCCCACGTGCCCTTGAATGCCCCTTCTCGGTTCAAGCGGCCGCCCGTTCTACACCGCACAAAAGTGTGATTTTGATGATGAACGAACGAAGGAGCAACGAATAAATAAAACCCGGACGACGCCGTGGCAAATCGGAGTTCTGTCTGCTGCCAATTCTCGTCGGCATCTCTCGCGCAACGCGGATCGCACTGCGCGCGTTCCTCGTCCGTGCCGGCCACATGGTTGATATCGGCAATAACGACGGAGCGAGACACGCAGCGAGATAAAATAGCCGCCTCCTGTAATGTACGCTTCAACTAAAAAACAAGTATAACCCGTAAAAACAAAGTTGTTCACTATAAATCCTTTATATGCGTGGTGGCTAAAGTCCTCTCGTCCTCTGGCTTGAAATGGCTGCCACCTATGGGTCAGATGATTGCATTGCACCATTAAACAATTGGTAATTAAATATATTTTTGTACTAAAAAGTGTCAGTGTGTCAGGCTGTGTCAGTGTGTGTGTCAGTGTGGCGAGGAGTGGTGGTGCAGCGGTTAGCGCGCTGCACTACGAACCCGGATCCCCGAGTTATATTCCCGCTCACGGCCAACACCAGCGACGATTATCTGAACCGGCACTGCGCCTCCCCCGGGTCGACTCAGCCTCAAATGAGTACCTGGTGCGGTGTGTAAACATCGCCACTGGGGAGATAAAGGCGGCCGGGCGTGGTGCTGGCCTCCCACCCCCTCGTCCACTGTTCCGGCCTTATAGGTGCTCGCTAACAGCACTTGCCCCAACAGCCTGTGCAGGCTACACGGGTGATCTTTGTCTTTGTGTCTTTGGCGCGCGCCCTCGTTGCCTGCGTCCCCAGAGACACTGCCCCCTCCTCCACGATCGGCGTCGTATTGCGCCTTTTGGCGTCATCTGGTCCAACCCACGTGAGACTAGGCTCTAAGGAAAGCTGTCTCGGGTGTGGACCAATCAACTTCAAGGACCATGTGAGACTAGGCTCTAAGGAAAGCTGTCTCGGGTGTGGACCAATCAACTTCAAGGACCATGTGAGACTAGGCTCTAAGGAAAGCTGTCTCGGGTGTGGACCAATCAACTTCAAGGACCATGTGAGACTAGGCTCTAAGGAAAGCTGTCTCGGGTGTGGACCAATCAACTTCAAGGACCATGTGAGACTAGGCTCTAAGGAAAGCTGTCTCGGGTGTGGACTAATCATCCTCAAGGACCATGTGAGACTAGGCTCTAAGGAAAGCTGTCTCGGGTGTGGACCAATCAACTTCAAGGACCATGTGAGACTAGGCTCTAAGGAAAGCTGTCTCGGGTGTGGACCAATCAACTTCAAGGACCATGTGAGACTAGGCTCTAAGGAAAGCTGTCTCGGGTGTGGACCAATCAACTTCAATGACCATGTGAGACTAGGCTCTAAGGAAAGCTATCTCGGGTGTGGACCAATCAACTTCAAGGACCATGTGAGACTAGGCTCTAAGGAAAGCTGTCTCGGGTGTGGACCAATCAACTTCAATACCATGTGAGACTAGGCTCTAAGGAAAGCTGTCTCGGGTGTGGACCAATCAACTTCAAGGACCATGTGAGACTAGGCTCTAAGGAAAGCTGTCTCGGGTGTGGACCAATCAACTTCAAGGACCATGTGAGACTAGGCTCTAAGGAAAGCTGTCTCGGGTGTGGACCAATCAACTTCAAGGACCATGTGAGACTAGGCTCTAAGGAAAGCTGTCTCGGGTGTGGACCAATCAACTTCAAGGACCATGTGAGACCAGGCTCTTAGGAAAGCTGTCTCTGGTGTGGACCAATCCACTTCAAGGACCATGTGAGACTCGGCTCTAAGGAAAGCTGTCTCGGGTGTGGACCAATCAACTTCAAGGACCATGTGAGACTAGGCTCTAAGGAAAGCTGTCTCGGGTGTGGACCAATCAACTTCAAGGACCATGTGAGACTAGGCTCTAAGGAAAGCTGTCTCGGGTGTGGACCAATCAACTTCAAGGACAGTGCATACATTATCAGAGTTGTGTTTTTTGTTTGTACTACGACTGCAGGTATTGCGGTCTATGCAAACATGACTCCTCGTAAAAAGGTGTCAGTTTTGTTGTCAGAACGAAGGGTAAAAAACCAATTATCATATTTTTACTGGCAAATGAGGTTCCCATGGAATAAAATAATTGTTTCCCTTCTCCGTGAGTTTACCGAAAGAACCAAGAATATGAATCCCTGCAGTCACGAAAGCTTTAAATCGAAATGTAGCTTGATGTAATGTGTTCCTGTCTATTGCGTTTAATAAACACAACGCACACACGCGTAGGAGACACCCCGTGTCACTGTCTTGCTATTGAAGGGACGTTTAATCTCTTAAACGTGAACACGAAAATCACCGACAGCAATAAACAGTAAACAACCTATAACACTGGTCAACAAAAATATAGATGTACACATTGGCGATAGGGCAACACTCGGGCGGATAACGCATTGATGACACTGGTCAACACAAAAAAAGAAATTCTGGCCTGGAGTTTTGCAGCTGTTTTAGACATCTCATTTTGATGCTATCGGCATACCCCATTTTCATTGATTTTACCCGAAATTAACTCTGTCACTTATGATTGCAAGTCGTTGCGAGTCAGTGACTGCTTTAGTGTTAAAACACGGTGCTGTATTTTTAGGATAGTGCGTTTTTAACATCATTTTATGTAGATATCCACATTCATTTAATATTTTTCTTCCGCAGTTTTTACTCAAAATGCAATATTCGATATCTCAAAAACCTGACGTGATAGACAAAAACTGATGCCGGATTTGGAATCAGCAGCACCCCAAAATTACATTAACCCCGTTGCAATACCTCTGGTCAGAAGAACAAGCGTTTTGACCAGTCTTATAATCAACGAGCAGTCCGGGAACCCGCCGTGGGAACGGGGAACTTCCGGCTGTCACGGCCGCCAACCCCGCTTAGCAGGGAGCCGCCAAACGAGATTCATTTTGAGTGCGGGCCCCCGGGGGGTTGAGCCGCCCCTCTCCGCCCCGCGCCCGGTGAGGGCGGCGGGAGAAGCGGCGCGTTGGCTGTCCCCGCTCTCCTGCGATCTCCGCCGCCGCGTCCCCCGTCGCCCACCACGCCCCTCGTGACCCGTCGCAGCATCTCCCTGGTCTGGGTCCACCACGCCGAACCCTCCCTCGCCCCCCCTCCCATCTCCGCCCCCCCTCCCCGCGCCCCCCCGAACCTCCCCCTGCGCTCCCCCCATTCTCTCCCGACCCTCGTGTCTCGAGCCGTGTGCGCGCAGTCTCTCCGCGTGCAGGTTTCGGGCGTTCTCCCTCTGCGCCTGCATCTGGCCTCTGACCTCCTCCCTCGCCCACCGCGCTCGCTCTCCCGCTCCCGCGTCCACGGCTCTCCCTCTCGCGCCCTCCGCCCCCCCTCTCAACGCCGCCGCTGCTGTTGCTGCCCCGCCCCCCCAAACTCCGGGGCCTTCCCCGCCGCGTCCTCCGCCTCTCTGTGGGGGGCTCCCTCGGACGGTCTCGAGGGGCCCCCCACGCCCGCAAGGAGTGCGAGCTGGTCGCTGTTCCTCCGTTCGTCCGCCCTCCTGACGCCGCCATCGCCGCAACCCGCTTTGCGCATGGCAGCTCGCCGCGGATTCTTGTCACTGTTGTTGTTGTTGCTGTTGTTGTTGCTGTCGCTGTTGTTGTTGTCGCTGTTGTTGTTGTCGCTGTTGTTGTTGCTGTTGTTGCTGTTGTTGTTGCTGTTGTTGTTGCTGTTGTTGTCGCTGTTGTTGTTGTTGCTGTTGTTGTTGCTGTTGTTGTTGCTGTTGTTGTCGCTGTTGTTGCTGCTGTTGTTGTTGTCCGCTCGCAGCTTGGCCTTCCGCAGCGTCGTGCTGAGTGAGGGTGGTGATGCAGCGAGCACAGCTCCCTGTACCATTAAAACCATCAACACCATCAACACCATCACCATCATCACCACCATCACCATCATCACCACCATCACCATCAAAACCATCAACACCATCACCACCATCACCATCATCACCACCATCACCACCATCACAACCATCATCACCACCATCACCACCATCAACACCATCACCACCATCAACACCATCACCATCATCACCATCACCACCATCACTACCATCACCTACATGGGGGACCTTTGTATATAGGTGCTACTAACAGCACTTGCCTCTACAGCCTGCTAGAGGCTACACGGGGGACCTTTGTCTGTGTAAAGGTACTAACAGCACTTGCCCCTACATCCTGCTAGAGGCTACACGGGGGATCTTTGTGTATAGGTGCTACTAACAGCACTTGCCTCTACAGCCTGCTAGAGGCTACACGGTGGACCTTTGTCTGTGTAAAGGTGCTAACTGCACTTGCCCCTACAGCCTGCTAGAGGCTACACAGAGGACCTTTGTCTGTGTATAGGTGCTACTAACAGCACTTGCCCCTACATCCTGCTAGAGGCTACACGGGGCACCTTTGTCTGTGTACAGGTGCTACTAACAGCACTTGCCCCTACATCCTGCTAGAGGCTACACGGGGCACCTTTGTCTGTGTATAGGTGCTACTAACAGCACTTGCCCCTACATCCTGCTAGAGGCTACACGGGGCACCTTTGTCTATGTACTTGATTTGACTCACGGGGGGGGGGGGGGTAGCAGCCCACCCCCAGCCGGCCAAGGTGCGACCTCGGCCGGCTAAGCAATCTAGCTGAGACCGGTGGCACTCCCCGGGACTAGGCCTTACCGCAGGGCTCACCGGCGCAACGCTGCGTCGACGTCTTGGGGAGGGGTTCTTGAGTGATGTTCTCCGTCGTTGTGAGCTCACACACTCAACAATGTCCTCGTGTGGAGTGCAGCAGCAGCAGCAGGAGGAGGAGGAGGTCCGACGTCGCGTGCCGACTACCTCGGGCAGGAGGCTGCAGGCAGCTGCGATCTCGTGAGATTGGCAGGGCGCGTTTATAATACGTAGTGCGGATAGGCGACCACGTGACGCGAGTGCGACTCGGATTCCGTAAAACTGATAAGACTGCGCGCTGCGCCGTAGAATCAACACTGCGGCTCAGCCGACGTTTCAGGTCCCCTGGGGGGACGTGCGAGTCACGTGGTGGGGTCTGTGACGTCACGGGGCACACGGCTGACTGGTCCACTCCTGCCAAGCTCGATAATATTTTTCTAATATTTTTTTATTTCTCGTCACATCTCTAACGTCTTCACAGGGGCTTCAAAACAGCAACATCGAGAGCGACAAGAGGTCAGTGTACTTCCAGGCTGGTTCACCAATGTGAAGATGTCACAGACACTAACGCTGGGAAGTAACATTTAAAATTTGATTTTAAAAAAATATTGCGCTTGGAGAATGCGGGAATCGATCCCACGTACTTGAAGAATAGGTCAGTAGGTGAATCGCTTGCTTTACCAACTGAGCTACTCTCCAAGGACGTGAGCGACGTCTCCTGGAGTTCTAATATCTTTCTTCTTTTCTTTCTTCTTTTTTTTCTTCTTTCTTCTTTTTTCTTCTTTCTTTTTATAAAAGTCTCCGTGCGCTCGCGCTTGCAGGGGATTTGGCTCTCGGACGGTGGGGTTTAAGACCGAAATAATTTGCCAGGCGGCACGCCCTAAGCCCCGTGGTGGGAACAGGCTATTCAGTTTTCCCGTCCGTAAACTTTAAAGTAGTTTAATTAACACATTTGTGCCGTTTCTATTATTCATTATTTACTTATTGCACGACATCGACCGTACCAAGTGACGGCAATTGCGTGGGGGGGGGGGGCGGACCCTGCCAAGTCATGCGCGTTCGCTCCAGCTCACGGGAGACATTTTATTTCACGCGTTTTAGAGTCAACACGTACACACATCACGCTCACACATGACGCTGCGGATATTTATTCACAGTGTCATGTCCTCTTCGCCCCCCTCCCAACACGATGCGTCCACTTTATACTACAGACTCCGTAGATAATATTTTACTGCTTACATTACATTATTCTTGCACGGCCGGGGGATGCTTGGGGGGGGGGGTAGCGGCCCAGCCCCTCGCCTGGCAACGTGCCAACTCCGCCGCCTCGCCAATCTAGGCTAAGCATGGCACAAGGCCTCAACACGCCTATGGTAAGTACAGAGTTCCTTGCTTCTTACGCTAACAACTCAAGCCCATTGTTAACTATTGTTAAACACATTAGTTTACAAACATTACAATAATAATGTTTGTGTGCTGATAAAAACTCAGCTTCATTGTTTACCAATATGAAACAAGTTCAAAGATGTTACAATAATTATGTTTGCGTGAAGATAACAACTCGGGTTCATTGTTTACCATCATGAAACGAGTTGACATGTTACAATAATTATGTTTGTGTGCACAAAACTCTTTTTGGATTTTTGGGTTGCTCAATTTCCCCTTTTTTGCTGCGCTTTTGCTGTGTGTGCGAGTACATATGTGTGTGTTTACGTCAATGTGTATTTTAGTCCACGTATCGATGTGTGCGAGTCGGTGTGTGTGTGTGTGAGTCGCTGTGTGTGTGTACGTCCATATATGTGTGTGTAACTCCATGTGTGTATATCTCAAGTGGATGTCTGTGTGACAGTCGACATGTGTATGTGTGTGTACGGCAATGTGTGTATCACTCTATGTATGTGTCGCTGTATGTGTGTACGTCGATATGTGTGTGTAACTCCATGTGTGCGTATCTCAAGTACATGTCTATGTATGTGTGAGTCCATATGTGTGTGTCTGTAAGTCGATGTGTTTGTGTGTGTCAGTCCATATGTGTGTGTGTGTCTCAGTCCATGTGCGTGTGTGTTAGTCGCTGTGTGTGCATGCCTCCATGTTAGTCAGTGTAACTTCATTCATTTGCGTGTCTGTAGGTCCATGTGTGCATCTTAGTCCATGCGTGTGCTTTATTGACCTGCTCAAGGCCTATGATACCATCAGTAGGCCTGGCCTCTGGGTTGCTCTTCGTGCTTTCCGAGTCCCGAACCCACTCATCACCATCCTTAAGGACCTTCATGATGGTGTGCCTGTACCGCAAAAAATCCCATCTGCTACAGATACAATGGGAGGCTGATCGATGCCCGGGTGCGGTCAAGGGATGGATCCCTGTTGCTCAACCACGTTATGTATGCCGATGATCTGCTAATGGCTGCTCACTCCGAAGAGGAGTTCGAGGTGCTGCTGCTGAACCTGGAGCTTGCCACCAACAGGTGGGGCCTTACCATTAGCCCAACCAAAGCTAAGCACCTGCCTGGCTATTTTGTACCATCGGACACTCCACCCCCACAACTCCCAATTGGTGATGGGCCAGTTGTGGAGACAGTGGAGAGTTTCCCTGGGCAGTGTGCTAATGACCAGCTCCGGTTTAATAGCAGAGGTCTCACTACGAATCAGTCGAGCTGCAGTATCTTTAGATTGGCTGCATAATGCTGTGTGGAAGCTACCTGGTCTATCACTCCGTACGAAGCTTCAGGTGTTCTCGGCCACGGTCATTCCCTCCCTTCTCTACGCTTGCGAAACTTGGACCCCCCTAATGTAACATCTTCGCTGGTTAGAAACATTTAGGCTGGCCTGCCTGCGATCCATCCTGGCTTTAACCAGGCTGCATTGTGTGAGGAGCTCACAAATCCTTGAAAGATGTGGACAAAGTCCCATCGGTGACCTCCGGCAGGCAAGGCTGCGTTGCCTGAGTCATGTAGCTCGCATGGCCAGCCACTGCATGCCTAAACAGCTTTTGTTCCGCTGGATCCAGGGGGCTGGAGAAAAGATGGAGTTATTGGGTACAGGAGGAATTGGAGCTGAGTCCACTAGCAGATGACTGCTATCAGCCGTGTCAAGATGGGCCTCTGGAGAAGGCTCCTGAAGGACGCTACTGGGCAGTTGAAGGCAGTCACCCTCCAACAACAACCGAGGGCGGAGGAGCGATGCTCACAACAAGGAGCGGAGCGCCGCGTGGCTAAAGCACAGAAAGTTGCCACAGTAGGAGCCATAGGTGGTGCATCAACCAGTCGTCTCAGTCAGTCGACCTGTGCCATCTGGATTTGCCCCATCACCTCCGGCCAGCGAGCGTTCGACACTTCACGTGGCCTCAAGGTGCACATAGCCTGGCACAAGCGTTGTCGTGACGTCACCGCGACTTAGTGGCGAATGGCGGTTGTTGTTGTTGAGTCTATGTATGTATGTGTGAGTCCATTTGTGCGTGTAACTCTATGTATCCGTGTCAGTCGATTTGCGTATGTAACTACATGTGTGTCTGCCTTTTTTGCCCGGGCAAAGCCGGGTACTAACCACTAGTATGTTAATAAGGGGTCATTGTCTAAGAAAAAAAATGGTGAGGAAAAGGTTTCATGTATGTTGGTAGGCCGATAAGTAAGTACCTAAGAGGTAAATTCCACATGGCATTGACAAGCTGTAAAGGATTTTATCTTGACAGGTACTAGGAAAAGAATCCTAACCATTTCTGGTCAGTAAAATGTGAAGCATGGTTTAATAATACCAGATTGTCTGGTAATTCCAAAAGCATAATACAATGCTTGGGCTCCTATCTCTTCGTGCACAAAGAGTTGGAGCTCACCCCGAAATAGAGAGCTTCTGGAGTGGCGCTTTCTTGGAAGGGATATGATCCCTAGAGAAATTGTGTTCACGATTTCATAAACTCCTTTCATGACCAGTTTAAGGAAAAAGACTGCAAAATGTTTGCAAGGAGAAAGGTGGAGCGTCGAGACGACACTCATTCTGTGGGGGAGAGTGTGGCACATTAGGAATGGATCACTCTTTTAAGTATGTTCTTGTGCAGCAACGGAGTAAAGTGTGGTTCTGTGAAAGCCCTGATGTGCTGTGCAGTGCATCAATGCATGTGTGTACAGCAGCATGTGATGACTGTGTCGGGCCTGGAAGGTGGCTGGCAGGGTTATTGAATGACCGCACGGATATACAAGTCACATGGTTAATGGCGACTCGGGAACAATGCTGGTTGTAACACACGTGATGTTGCATTTTACAGAGTGACGGTGCTGTTCTTCACAAGATTAATATTAACCACAATAAATAAATTTGCTTGCCCTCAATTTGAAGCACCTGCCCACGTCCTTCATTTATAGTGTGCAACAATAGGATAGCAGCGGAGTAACAGACCTTGGTGGAGAAGCTACGACGGAGTGAGACGGCAGGGAGAACAAAGAGCAACCGGGCTGGAGAGAGAGAGAGAGCAGAGAGGGAGGTCACTGGAGCAGAGGAGCAGAGGGAGAGCGAGCGAAGCCAGCGGAGCGAGCGAACGGAGAAACATTGAGTGATGTTGATGGGGAGTTGTGCGTTGAAGAGAACGGAGGGACATTGCGCGATGCCGACGGAGATGTGAACTATACGCGTTAATAAAGAACCAAGAAAGACAAAGAAGCTGTCGCGTCAGTACGAGTCCTACGCATACAATCCAATGGGGAAATTAGGTTCGAGTCACGACCAAATCGGGTTGCGACCAAAGTTATGGAACGAATTATGGTCGTGACCAGAGGTTCTACTGTACTGGGATGCAAGTGCGACCACGGAGATATGTGTGTGCGCGGGGATTGCCTTCGAGCATACGCCCTCCATTTTGTACGCGCGCGGAAACCGCGGCGATGGTTGCGCGTTGGGCCGCCATTTTTTATTGACGCACACGGGAAACCGCGGAGATGTTTGCAAGTTGGGCCGCCATTTTGTGTGCGCGCAGAAAATCACAGCGATGTTCATGCGCTGGGCCGCCATTTTGGGCGCGCGCGGGAAGCCGTGGGGACGCGGGTCGTGCATGCGGCCGCCATTTTGTACGTACACGGGTGGCCTCGGAAATGTGGCGGTTGCACGTGTCAACTATTTCTGGGCTAGAGCAGGCATTTTCTTTTCTGTGCCATGTCGATTGCACATATTTTCATATTTTCACATGTGTAGTGCTTGAGATACGCGTCACACGCTGAAGTCGGTGTGAGCGCACGCGGCGTACAGTGGGAGCAAATGAGGACACAGGGCGCTGATTGGCTGGTCGTTGTTGTTGTTCCAAAGGAGGTGACGTGATGTCTGAGGATGGTAGCAGGTGGCAGGAAGTAATTAAGGACGCAGAGCGCTGATTGGCCGAGAGGGTGTTGTTGTCGCAGAGTGGCGCCACATTGACTGGAAAAACATGCCACGTGGCTGGGGGCGAGTGGCATCGCGGGGGATGCCCCTAATTAATTGGGAATTAATTGGCTCGGGGATAAAGACAGGGGTTGTCGGAGGAGACGGGAGTTCGCGCCTGGGAGGAGACAGAGGATGGAAGAGTCGGAGCAGCAGAGCTAGTAACAGTGTAGGGTAGCAGTGGAGAAGCGTAGGGTAGCAGTGGAGAAGCGTAGGGTAGCAGTGGAGAAGCGTAGGGTAGCAGTGGAGAAGCGTAGGGTAGCAGTGGAGACGCGTAGGGTAGCAGTGGAGACGCGTAGGGTAGCAGTGGATACGCGTAGGGTAGCAGTGAGACGACGAAGCCAGTAGGAAGCGGCTGGAGCGTGGGAAGAGAAGCTGATGTAGCTACGACGGAGTGGGACGGCGAAGCTGATGAAGAGCAGACGAACTGTGGCGGAGAGTAGGCCTCGGCAAGGTAAGGTAAAAGTTAAAAGGTAAAAACAACGAGCCTACCTTTACCCTTACCCCATTCAAATTACCCGATTACAGGGTAATTACTAGGGAACTACACATCAACAAGGTTTATAACGGTAAATGCTGGGTAGAGCGCTTTATTCATATAGAATACTCTCGATTATTCCAATTTATATAACTTATTAAATGGAGGCCACGGACTGCGCCACGGAGCTTTTAGCGGTAAACAAGGCACCGTATTTACCGGGTAATACTTCGCGCTACCTTTACCCTACCGGGTAATTCTTCCGAGCTACCATTACCCTACCCTTTACCTTACCCCTTGGCATGTCGACACCTTTACCCTTTACCCTTCTACCCGGTAAAAAGGGTAAATTACCTTACCTTGCCGAGGCCTAGCGGAGAGAGTGAAGAGGAGAGTCGACGGAGGAGTGATGGGGAGCAAGTGAGGCCGGCAGAGAGCGTGGAGAACTGTGGAGCGTTGAGCGATGTTGGATGGAGGAGTGTTGAGCGAAATACGCAACATAAAGTAACGAGGAAAGACAAGAAGCTGTCGTGTCGGTTCGAGCACTACACATGGGTCGACCCTGAAGTGCGACTTCTCGACCTGGAACGTAGGGAGACGTCCGGAATGTTAAGTGGTGTGTGTCGGTGGGTGTTAGACTTTCGGTCTTGTGCGTTGGCCCTCTCCCCTCATGGCGTCTGTGAACACCACAGTGGCTAAACGGGGGCTCTGAATGGGTGCGAGGGGCTGGTAACCCCTCAACCCTCAATTTATTACCACGAAACTACGAATTAAAGATAAATATGGGTCTGCCCCGTGACCTCCTGCCAGCGGGCGTTCGACACTTCACGTGGCCTCAAGGTGCACATGGCCTGGCACAAGCGTCGTGGAGAATGGCGGTTGTTGTTGTTGTTGTTAGACTTTCGGCCTTCGCCCTATTGCCACCTGTGGGGTGGAACGGTAGCATATTCTTAGGTAGTCTTAAGCCTCACCTTACCATATTAATAAAAGTATGCGGCTCTTGCTCCACCACCTCCTCCAACCATTATACAGGGTGACCCAAAAAAAACGGGCCCCGTGTACACTTTATGTGATATCTCCTTTATTTATTCACCGATTGCCCTTATTTTACAGGACATGGCAGAATCAACGACCGTGAGTACACCAAGACCCCAGTGGGAGCTGGGACAAAGAATACACTGTGTTAAATTTTACTACAAGACAGGCTCGTTTAAGAAAACCCAGGACAGTTTCATGCGTCAGTTCGAATGTGAAAAGGCTCCATCCAAAAGCAGAATTCAGAACTGGGTGGACCACTTCGAGAAGTATGGGACCGTGGAGAACCTCAACGCTGCCAGTGAGAACCGTCCAAGCCACTCGGGACGTCCCAAGAAGCGAACAGCCGAGCTGGTCGAAAGTGTGAGAGAGTCTCTCCAGCAGAGTCCGAAACGCTCTGTGCGTAAGCGAAGTCAGTCCCTCGGTATGTCCCGTGAGACTTGCAGGAGAGTGCTGGTGAACGATATCAGGGCTTACCCATACAGAATACAGACGCTGCAGACCCTTACAGCCTCAGACAAGAAGCAGAGGAGCGCTATGGCAGTCAAGATGCTCGAGAAGATCGAGGAGACACCAAGTTTCCTTAACCTCCTTTGGACCTCAGATGAAGCCCACTTCCATCTTGACGGAAAGGCGAACTCCAAGACAAATGTCTTCTGGGGGTCCTCCAGACCCAATGAAGTAGCCACCAAGCCCTTGCACTCTCCTAAGTGCACGGTGTGGGCTGCAATCTCGGCCAGAGGCATCATCGGACCAACTTCATCGAAGAATCTGGCGCAGCAGTGACAGTCACCAAGGAGCGGTATGTGGAGGTCCTCAAAACCTTCAAGAGTGAGCTCCAGACCCTCTACCCGTCGCTCATGAGCAAGTTCTGGTTCCAGCAAGACGGAGCAAGTTCTCACACCTCAAACCTGTCCCGAGATTGGCTGAAAGAGAACTTCGGAGGCCGAGTGATCAGTCTCAAGACTGATTTTGAGTGGGCACCCCATAGCCCGGACCTAAGCCCCCCAGATTTTTTTCTTTGGGGCTATCTTAAGGACAGAGTCTACGCAGGGAAACCCAGAACCATCACGGAACTCAAGGAAGCCATCAGGGAGGAGATGAGAGCCATTACCAATTCAGTCTGTAAGAACGTCATGGACAACTTCGTGCTGCGCCTCAAGAAATGCACGGAGCTAAATGGAGGCCATCTAGAACACATGCTGTAGAACGGAGAAAAAAAGGCCAAAGACCCTAGTGTTTTGATGTTTTGAATATAATAAACTAGTAATGACCAAAGTTTCATTTCATTCGGACAAAACACTAAGAAACGGGGCCTAATTAGAGTTGGGGCCCGTTTTTTTTGGGTCACCCTGTATAAACGGAGTGGCTTCTGAAATCTCTCATTTACGTTATACAGCTGTCGTGGCTGTGACGGTACCACCTGAAGACGGAAGCTTGTGTTGCCTCCGAAACGTCGTGATTTTTATTTTATTTTACTTTTTAATGTGTTTTGACCTACGTGACTTTACCGAAAAAAACCTAAGAATATGAATCATTGCAGTCACGAAAGCTTCAAATCTAGAATTAATGCCTTCTACGGGGAGGAATTCCACCTATCTGTTAGAGTTTTTAACAGACAACGAGACAAGAAGTCACAGCTTCTTGAGACGGTGGCCTTCCTCAAGAGATGCCGAGATAACAAGGTAATACCCATCGCTTTCACACTCACATCCGCTGCTGTGTCCTCACCGAACTCTAAACAGATCTTATTTAAAGCTAGCCTATCACTAATCTCGGAGAGAATAAGGTTACTCCGATCTGAACTCGATAATTTAGACAAGACTCTCTTACAAACACATTTAATGTTAACACAAAAAATGTCACCTTCCGATTGGAACCACGTTGATTACATGACTTCTGCTTCTGCTGACTCAATGTCAGCCAAATGCAAAGCTAACCTGATTTCTAAATTCAACCTCCTATCTAAGAAGAAACCAGAGCCACACATCGCAAAGCTGGATGTTAACAAGACCGTGATTAATCAGAGTAACATCCCAATTTCTGACAATCTAAAAACGGTACTGGCCAAAGGACTAAATTTCGCCGTCACCCCTAAATATATACCAGTAGAGGATATGATTTCTCAGATTGATGTAGCCCTCAGAGGCATAGGACACATCCATGCGGATGTAGCAAGAGCTGAAATAGCTACTATTCTTAAGAATGCTAAGAAACCCACTAGTAACATCAGCAAAAACGAACGCTCTGAACTCGCGGACCTAAAAAAGAGAGATGATATAGTCATCCTCTCGGCAGACAAGGGCAATGCCACGGTCATCGTGGATAAAGATTCATACAACAACAAAATCCTGGACCTTCTTAATGATGGGAGTTACTCCAAAATTAAAAACGATCCCACTAAAAACCTAACGACAAAAACCAACAGTATCATCACGAGTTCGACTTCCCTAATCGAACCAAGCAAACGTCCCTCTCTAAAACCATCGGCGGCTAGACCTCCCAGACTCTATGGTCTTCCCAAAATCCATAAAGAAGGCACCCCGCTACGACCCATCGTGTCGACGATAAACTCTCCTACGTACAAACTAGCCCGTTTTCTATCAGATACTCTGCTCCCCTTCACAGGCAAGACCTCTTCGGCAGTACTCAACTCAACCCAATTAGTCTCTATGGTTAAGGACATGGTACTATCTCCTGATGACATCCTCGTCAGCTTTGATGTAGTATCTTTGTTCACCAAAGTCCCAGTACCGGACACCCTAACAATAATTGAGGACTTAGTCCAACATGGATTGAATTCTGATGTACCTGCGCTGGTTAGGCATTGCCTCACCAACACTTATTTTACCTGGAATGGCACCTTCTACAAACAGAATGAGGGTACCCCTATGGGCTCCCCCTTGTCACCAGTTATAGCCAACATGTTCAAGGAAAAGTTTGAATCAGACGCCATCCAGACATCCACCCTGCGTCCTTCCTTGTGGAAGAGGTATGTGGACGACACTTTCGTCATCTGGCCACATGGCCTCCCAGCATTGAACCACTTCTTGGACCACATCAATTCTAGACACCCATCCATCAGATTCACCATGGAAGTGGAGAAAGACGGTAAACTACCATTCTT